GTTATATCGAGATAATGAGATAATGAGATAATAAGTCGTTATCACGATATAACAGTACATAAAAAAAAAAAATCCATAACCGTTCTCGGCTTCCGTACATAACAAACTAGAGCCTAAAATTTAAAATTAACGCCTGAACGGAAAGATTAACTTTATGAGTTCACTAGGTGTACACTGTGTGTATTTACTATAGGGCAATACTATTACATTGTGAGGTGATTATTTTTTCCCCACTATGCCAAACCAAATGTTTGCTTGTTTTATGAGACAGGGACTGTTGTCTTGCATATCAAATATTAATTCAGCTATGTTAGCCGCAGCAGTGTATTCAATCACCACAGCAAATTTACATTCTATAAAACAGACATCTTGGAGTTTATGGAGTTTTTACTTGCCACAGGTTTAACTGCCCCAGCAGAAGCAGCTGAACACCTTCCTTCCTCCCTTCTTATGTTTACTTCAGCCAACCTAATTTCCTCCAGATATGAGAGCGACTGAGTGATTTAAAGTTTAAGAGCAGAAGATCATTTTGAAACATGGAGCTGTCGAATATGACTGATGAGACAGCCGAGCCATTCTCACCTCTGTCCAACTGCACTGTGGACACCAGCTACCGCTTCACCTTCTATCAAGTGTCCTACACTATCATCTTCCTGCTAGGGTTGGCCACCAACAGCCTGGCTCTACGCAGACTGTGTCTCTCTCCCTGCACCATGAACAGCACAGCCATTTACATGGTCAGCCTGTCAGCTGCCGACATGTTTTTTGTAATATCCCTGCCCCTGAGAATCTACTACCACCACCAGAAGGCCAGGGCCCTGTCCTCCAAGGCAGGAGACCCCCCCAGTTGGAGTCCTGGGGTGGCATACTGCCACCTCACTTTCACCCTCAAATACATCAGCCTGTATGGGGGCATCTTCTTCCTGGTTTGCATTGCTGTGGACCGTTACTTTGCTGTAGTGCATCCTCTGGCATCGACACTCCGCCGGCTGCGTGTTGCACAGCTGTTAAGTGGGGGGATCTGGTGCCTGGTGCTGGGACTCAGTGTGAGTCTGCCTCTGCTGCGCTCTGCAGCTGCTCACCAGCACCAGCCATGTCTGTGGGACCCGTCCTTGCTACGCCACCGCACCATTATCCTGGTAGCTCTGGGCTTGGTCCTAGGGTCATTTCTGTTGCCCACTGTGCTGCTCCTCTACAGCTACTGCAGAGTGCTGACTGTGCTTCGCCAGCCGAGACACCGCTCCCGCAGCCAGCGCCGCAGCCGTCAGCACACTCTCACAGTTATTTACTGGGTGTTGGGAGTCTTCCTGCTCTGCTTCGTGCCCTATCACATCAACCTCCTGGGATACACCCTCACACATGTGGGGCTGCTGCCCCATTGTGGCCTGGCCAAGGTGACCAAGGCTGTGCACCCTGTGGTGCTATCACTAGCAAGTGCCAACTGCTGCCTCAACCCACTCATCTACTATTTCTCCAGCAGCCTGGTGCACAAGGAGGTGCCCAGCGGTGGAGTCAGTGGCAGCCAGTGACACACATCGTCTCACAACAACACTGACAGACTTTTAACATGGTCATTCCTTAATCTAAAGAGCACTACACTGGCAGTCAGGGGTTCACTCTATTGTTTTGGTAATTGTATTTCGTATTGTTGTTTATGTGTTTGTGAAATATTTAAATGCAATGACATTTTTTCATGTGTAGTGGATATTGAATGTAACCTGCGTCATTTCACGAAAGTACTGATCAAATGTTATGAAGTCATTTACATGTTGATCTTATTTGTCTTTTATATCATTCTTGAACTGGAGTAATAATTAAAACATAAAAAAAAAACTCTTCTTTTCTTCTCATGGGGTAATGATTGGAGATATTTACAGTGTCTATGTGTATTTATGCTGTGCATGACTCTCATTAAAATGCTGTGACATCATTGCTTGCATACTGTAGTAGTGATGAGAGATAAAACTGACCGTCCTCCATGCAATCCTCTCCATGATGAGGTTCTCGCAGGTCTCCAGGTGTTTGACAATATCCTTGCTCAGAGTGGGGTCGGCCTTAATGAAGCTCTCGATGACTTTGTAGAAGTCAAAGGCGGCGAGGTTGACCACGTCCAGTATCCAGGGGAAACACACGTTTGTTTCAGCTGCTTCGCCACCCCCACCATGGTTGTATCCTCCAGTCTTAAAACTGCTCTCTACACGCACAGCCACAAGAAATGTAAACATTTATCTGTATAATTGACAGCTTTAATTTCAGATTTAGTATGTAACTGCATCCGTTATCTACTTGTAAGCAAATTATGGGACACACCTCCATACGTTGCCATGACCACCTCCAAAGCACAGGCCAAAAGTGATGTGTGGAATGTGGAGTCATTCAGGAGTTTACTGAAATGGAAATCATGTGACTCAGCTCAAGGCAAATGATGCTTCATTTACAATCAAAACAACAAAAAGCATGCACCCACAAGGGAATACAAACGCAACAACTGACAAGCTTCATAATTTGCCACAGATTTACTAAAAGAACATAGAGAACATACCTGAAATTTTGCACAGACAATCGCTTCTCTTCCTACAAAATGAAAGAAGAAAAACAACATGAACATAGTTTATTTAGTGTACAGTTCAAGTGAGTGGTGTTATGTAAACTAAAGTTATGAGGGCGTAGAAAGTGGAAATATGCTTGATAATATCTAGAATATGCAGTTGTTTTGAGTTTGGGGTTGACGTGTGAATTTGTGTGGGTTGACGTGTGAATTTCCACACTTTAGTTGAACTGAGTTCAAACAAACAATTATTGAATAAAACTGTTGAAAAATAAATGAATTAAATCAAATTTAAGTTTAAGTACCGATTTCAGCATTGCCTCCATGACTTTGTAATACAGTTTGACACCAAGGTTAAATCTCTGAAAGACAAATAAGTCAGACATAAAATGTTTTAGCATAGGAAGTCATTGTTGCTCATTGTCTTCTTGAGTGTTTAGTTCATACCTGCCTGCCGAGTACTACACAGCGTGGGCCGACTGCCTGACCAAACCTTTGGCTAAACGCCTGTCCGAGTGTCTCCAAGCGCTTCAGCACCTCCTGCGTTGGGTCCACAGTGCAATTCTAATCACAGGAAAGAACAAAATATCAAATGTGTCAAATTAAGGTAATTAAGTAATAGTAGTAAGATGCAGTTTCATCTGATATTTTAATTAGTGGTAACACTTCTAGAGACCCACTTTGAAATATGTAGCCAGGTTAGTAGAGGGCTGGTCCCCACTGGAGGTGAGATCCCCCCTCAACTGCTGAATGGAGTTCATGGCAGCTCTGATGACACAAAACAACAACAACAAGGACTCAGACATACACTTGGAAAAATTTACACAATAAAATATTCCTAATAATATACATAAAGTACAATAAATCTCATTTAATAAATACTAACTTTGCTTCTAAAACATTTTTATAAATCTTATTTATAAATATCATGATTTATGATATTTAAACTGTTTTTTTAGTTTCCTAATTTATGTTTACATTTTCACACCAACTGCGACTAAAAAAAGCTTAATAAAAGGCAAATGTTAAAAAAGATGATGCTGAAAGCAAACTTGAGTACTTCTCATCTGGGTAAGCACTGAATAAAAATAAAAAAAGGTGAGTGACTGCTCACCTGATTGGCGTCTGGGGAGGGATGAGTACAGTATCTTCATCTGACAGGTTCTTCTTTGGCGTTCTCTCCACCTGTGATCTGAATGCAAGAGGAGATTATCAGACACTTTTCTTTAAATTCCTTATTCATTTGTTTAAATTCAACATCAAAACACTGAATAGTGAAGAAAAGAAGAAATTACATCTCGACTTTAGGCGCGAGAACAGTCTCATCTCCGTCAAAAAACAGCCGTCCGTCAAAGTCTCTACTCTTGAGGTAGTGTTCTTCATATTGTTGGTTGAGCTCATTGGCCTGTGGTAAAAGGTTGAGGTTACTTAAGTTTAATATATTAAAAACAAAATCGCTTGTTCTTTTCAGTGTTAAATTATTGCTGCTTTGTTCACGGGCCGGAGAAGTTAACCGCGCCCCCAAATGCGTGTTTTAGATGTAAAATCTTAATCTGAAAACTAGATCTGCAATCACGGACATCAGACAATCCCAAGGAATCAGACAATAAATAAAAAACTTAAAACCTGCACATATTTCGAAACAGCCTGAAGATGGAAAATCAACAGCACATCTCAACTTTCATCAGAGTTCTGATGGTACTTGTACAAGACTTGTCTAAAGATTGTACGATTGCCACTGTGAGTCTGTCTTCACCCATTTAGATCTCAGTCTCAAAATAAACATCTCTGAAATAAGGTAAGGTTCCAATTTATCTGTAACCAGATTACGACAAGTCTCATCTCATCTGTGCGATACAATAATGTGGAACACAATCTAACATGGTGTTTTTTTAATCAGAGGTCAGATCAATGGGGTGACACTTTTGATATTATTTACATAAGACACTTAAATAATGCACACCACCTGTCCCCCTGGGGTAATGTAACAGTAAAACAATATCAGTAAAAATTGTAAAACTGTAAAGTTTATCTACTTTTCAGAGGAGTGTGTTCGTGTCAGCAAACAGTAGCATCCTGTCTCCGCAATATACTGCCCTGACACACTTAAAAGGATCCCCTGCTTGAGTACACATTTTCCTGACACCATGTATGTTAAAACAAACATGTATGAGCAGCAAAGAGAACAACCAACAGCTGTCAGACACTCAAATGTTCAACAATGGCAAGGAAGCGATGACTAATGGAAACAGTGGGTGAAGAGCAGGCAGTTAAACCAAACAGTAGAGCAGGTGTTGAGACAATCACCCCTCTACCTGAGGGAAATCTGGAGATCTGGAAAGATCCAGTGAGTCCAGGAAAGCCGAGAAACTGGTCTGGTATACATTCTTCACCTGCAAATACAATTAGAGGGGAAATGAGGCCAAATGCACAATGTTTGTATGATGACTGAAAGATCTATACAAAGAGTGGGGCTCAGACCTCTTCTGCATTGCATTCATTGTCTTTGCACAAGGTTTTGAGAAGCTGCAAATCCACCTCTGGCTCCACAGGTCGGGATTTGGCTTTGCTCTGGTTGCGACGAGATGTTCTTGTCGGAGGGCTCTGAACTTTGCTGATAGCTGATTCTATGAGAAAAACATTTAAGAGGTTAGAAAATCTCTGGGAGCCAGAAACAATACATCCTTTCATGACACTGAATATCTTAGGTTGAGACTTTTCATGGCTGGAAAACCTGACAGACAAACATAATACTATACTTTGATACTGTATACTAGTATAGTATAGTATAGTATACTTACTATTTTTACACTTTTAAGCAAATACCTTGAAATCACATTAGGTAAAAAAAAAGTCATCTTTACATCATGGCCAATTTTTTTTTAAATAATTTTTTTCACCTTACACTTTTTTACACGATTTTAAAAAGGTCCAGTGTGTTTAGGATTTAGTGGCATTTAGCATCGCAATCAAACACGGCAGTTCAACAATGTGGACTCCACAGCCGAGGACCCGCTCCCTTAGTAGATAAAAACGGCTCATACTAAGCTTAAACACAACGATTCTTATTTTTAGGTGATTATACATAATTGAAACATACCTATGAATATTATATTATATTTCTGCCAATAAATCCAATGTTACACAGTGGACCTGGTTGTTTGTTAAATAAAGACATGTTAAAGTAAACGAAGTGAAGCATACTGTAAAGAGGCTGCAGAAGATCTGGAGGGCAGCGCTTGATGCATAATTCCAGTGTACACAGCAGCAACTGGAATGATATGACCAGGTCATCCTCCATCTGCAAGGCCCTTCCTGCAGACAGAAAGAGATGCAGCACATGAGAAGCATCATCACAACACTACGCCGCGAACTGGAAACAACAGAACCATGAGGAGAAACATTTTCCAATTCATTTGAGCTCTAAAGCCGAGCACAAAGGCGGAAGGAAGGATGGGAAGAAGAAGACGGAGCAACATGAAAACTATTCCATCAAGTGTGTTAACAGCTTGCTCCTACTTGTTTTTGTTGTTGTGTTTTTAGGCTTAACCTACCTTTGGCCAAAAGAAACATTGTCCAGCAGCTCCGGATGGTCTCCCTCTCCCTTTGAAAAGAGACACTGAAGCATTAATCATAATCCTGCATCACATGTTTTAAAAAAAGTATGCAATGATCAAACAGACAAGAGGGGGGGGTGGGCATGTACATGTCACTCATGTGGTAGATAAATCTCCAACTTACTTGCTGTCGGAAACCAAAGCAAAGATGTTCTTGCATGTTCTGAAACAACACAAACATTATCATCAGTTAGAACTTTGCCCGTAACGTTTCCACTTCAAGCGCCTGTACTGTTGTGATGGGTTCACTCACTTCTCAAACCTCTGGTACAGAGCCAGCGTCACATCATACTTCTTCTCCAATCGCGTCAGTGCTGAATTCACCTTGGTGCTTATAGTATCCAAGTTCACATCCAGCTTCCTCACCAGAGCTAAAAACTGTTTTACACTACCAAAAAAAAAAAAGGATGCATTTGAGTGAGAGATCCAGTAAACGGCATAAAAGTGAACAATAAAATGAAGGATGAAGTTGTCAAACCACACCAAGGGTTCAGATTTAAGTTAAAAAATAATCGTTTGGTGTTCTGCTATCCTTTAACAGCTGGTTTAATTGACTGATATTATATGTATGAGTGTCAGTGAGTCGTAACGAGCACTTACTTCAGACTGACTGCTTTCAGAACCTGAGTTAATGTGAAACAGGCGACATCCATGTCTGTCGCTGACACATACAGACAAGCCCCCCACAGCCTTTTCTGACTGTCCTGAAATAGAAAAAGAACAATGTTTAAAATACAATATTCTTTTTAATCACCGACATCCTTGTGGGGAAAGTTAATACTATCAGCTTTACGATCGACTGGTTGGATTTCCTTTAGCAGAGAAAATGATCATAGCGTTTGGACTGATACACACTGTGTGCCACATCACCAGATCACTATAAACTGATATACTGGGTACAACTAAGGCTTTTCAATTCTAAGGTAAATTTGAGAGAGCTTTCATAAAAGCATCCAGGCCATAAGATTATAATAGTTATGGGATGTAACTGTATGATGCCGTAGTGGCCTTTTTATGCTAACCCCACAGTATAAACAGTGAGAGGGCGGCCACCAAAAGAGACTCTTTTGTTCTCTCATCGGGTAGTTTTCCAACCAGAGTAATATAATTCCCACCCATGCCTTTTCATTAGAGCAGCCAACGGGATCACATTACAAATCTACTGTCACATAACTGTAAATAAACACATACAGCGACTTCTTCCATGCCATCTTGAACAGTTTTCCACAGCGTCCAGGCACGATCACACACCAGGTCTGTCACATGAAGGCTCTTACACAGGGTCACAAACTCAGCATCTTTGTCTCTGTGACTAGAGGACGGAGGGACAGACATCAGCATCATGGAGAAACACAAACACAGTTTCAGGACATGAAAACATGCTGCACAGATGACAACAGGCTCTCTCGACTGTGAGCCACAGTGTGTTATGTGTTATAACAGCGCTACATGTCACGTTATATCTGTTCCTGAACATGTATATTGTGACATTGTGAGGGTTGAGACAGGTTTAAAAGAGACTTTAGCTCTAAATACAGGCCTGACTTCGTTTGAAGCAGATAGCTAGTCATCCATACATTAACATCAACAATAGCTAGCTAGCAAGTGTGAAATACCAACACAAACTAATGTTCAGGCTACAGTGTCAACAGTGTGTACAGAGTGAGCAAATAATGCAATGTAACATACTGCTGAGAGCTGAATGAGGGAACATGACTTCTCTTACTTTTTAACAGATAACTCTGGACTCTCCTTCTTGTCTGCAGATCCACTTTCAGCAGCGAGCTTCAGCTCTTTGCTCTGTGTCGTCCCAGAGTTTCGCTTTTTAGGTGGCATCTTGGTATCCGGTCACCAAACAGGCAAATATAATAATTACAAACTAACTAACTATGTGTTGAAAGCCGCAAAATTGGGTCTGGTGAGTTTAAAGCCCAGTGGAGAAGTTCCGTGGTAACAATACAACAAAACCTGACTGACTTCCTGAAACCGTGGAGAAGTGGCTGTTCGCTTTGTGTCACCGCAGTGCGCGGCGGAGCGCCGGTGCCGCCGGTGTCTTCACTTTTAGACTCTCTCAGCAGTCAGTGTCACAACCTTTGTGTATATCCACCTGTTTATTGAGTCTCTCCGGTCGTTTGTCTGTGTTCAAACGCAGCGCCGTCGACGCTAACATTAGACAGCCTGTTTACAGCGATATATTTGCGTTAAGCTCTCTGTGGCGGTAAACTGAGCGCGGTGTGCGTTCACCGGGATCACGTGACGACCCGCAAACGAACTAACCCAAACTGACGCGATGAAAACGCGGGAAAATATCTACGCAACATCCGCTCACCAGCATTTGTCCCGCCATCCAGACGAGACGCTCAGAGCTGAAGACAGACAGAGGGCGACTCATCATTTCAGCTGATCTGATGTTATTTCCTCTCATTTCACTTTGTTTACCTTGTGTATGTTTGTTCGTTTACGTTTTCACATTACGAAAACACCCAGTATTGTCACATAGCCTGTGATCAATTCTCTTTAAATACCTTTAAAATGTTCTCTTTCACATTATACAGTAAATGTGAAGTTTCAGTACCCATGTTGTGAATGTACCTGTCCTGCACTCTGAACCACCATTGCCCTCTTGTGGTAACATTCACATATTGTTATTTCAAATGACTGCAAGGTTTGAGACATTCAGGGTCATGGTCAAACACTGTTATGATCGCCATATATTTGTTTCAAAGGGAACTCTGACAATTAAGTTAAATTAAACTACTATGCCTATATACACACTCATCTCACAGTTTTAAATAGTTTAATCAGAGATCTATGAAAGAAAAATATCCAATAAGTTGCAACAAAAGGGAATGAATAAGTTATGTGTTAAGTTGAGGACAATGAGAATATTTAATCATTACGCACTGTAATATACAAGAGAATGGCAACAAGGTGTACAAAGCATTAGAGGCATTTCATGACATGATATACAATCCTAAAACAAAGGATAATAAAATGTCCTTAATCAAAAGGTTTAAAAGTGACCCTGCTTGAAAGATGATTTGAAAGAAAACAATGACCCCTATTATAGATACACACAAAATTAAAAGTTTCATGTGACTGAAATGGTTTACGAATGCAGACACTGCAGATCTGGCGGGTTTCTTTTATCTGTCATCATCTACTTATATGTAACAGGACACAACAGGGAGCAGATACTGTATGTCCTTGAAAACAGTTTTTGAGTCAACAGCCTGAAATAAGACGGGGGATTTTAATCAGTTAGCCCAATTTAATTCAATTAATATTTCTTTACACATTTAATATTAAAACGTCGGAAAAAAGAGCAACTAGTATCGTTAACAAATGTTTTTTATCAGGTTATCTGAATGTCTATTTCAGTCGACCACTTGAAGAGATAAACAACACATTCATGTGACCGGTGTGTCCGAGTCAGCTGTCTCGTCTGGGTGAGATTCTTTTCTTTATTTCCCATCATCATTAACATCAATGGGTCTAGTAAAAACTATGCAGTATGGACAATCTGTCAATAAATAACATTTAAACAACTGATTTTGAGGTCTTCCCTAAGCAGGACCTTTAAATCAGAGTAACATTTGTGCCCTCAGAAAGTTGTAAAAATGTTACCAAGATTGAAACCATGACAACAATCACGTCCTCAATGTAACAATACAGTTAATGGATGAGTGCCGTTCCAGAGAATACATTTAACCGATGACGTACAGTACAATCAATACAGTGGGCTTTCTGATAATCAATAGCAGAGGGGGAGGTCAACAATGAAGGACTGTCAAAGGCAAGTTCCAGTAAACATAAAAAAAAAACCTACATGTGTGTCGATATCCACTGACTCCTAACACCCTTTTTCTAAATATAACAAAGGATAACTCCAAACATTTAGAAGTACCACTTAAAAGCCTGCGTACAATAAATACGAGTATAGTCTCTAGTTGTAAATATCGATGTAGTCTGGGTAGTGATGGCTACATTTCCTGCAGGAACTGGCAATCTCAAATGCAAACCAGACCTTTGACTGTCTGCTATCATACGGACACACGAACAGTACTTTATAGTTTATTTGGCAAGTTGCTTTTATTTATTTTAGCAATATTTTTTAAGCGATTATTCATTTTAAAAGGTAAAATGGATTAAAAGTATTCCTCGATGCGGCTGCGTCCCCAGCACCATTTAGTCTGGCAGTCCACCAGTGGTTGTTGAAGGTAACGGTCGAGAGTCACTGCACTTTTTTAACCCCCCCCCCCCTTTTTGTACACGATAAACGAAATCTGGTCTCTCTGCCGCTGTGGACCACTGTCAGTGAGAATTAATTATACTATGCTACTGTGATAATAAATAAGATCAGCAGATACGCTGCAAGATAATCATCATCCAAAAGTCCCGGTAGAGGTTTACTATGCCATCTAAGATGAAGATGATCCAATCTTTACAGCTGTAACCTTATATGCTACACAACATAAAAAAAAGTTTTAAAAAAACAATGGGAAACATACATACTAGTATAAATAAAGCAATTAATCCACACTGCCCTGCAGGACACGCAGTCTGTTCAAACAAGGCCACCAGAGCCTAGCAGGGGGGGAATAACATAATAATAAATTCCTCCGTCTCTCAACAACGTAGTTTGTTCGTCACCGCTCTCTCTCTGTGCCATCACGCCTCGCTTCCCACCTCCCACGTCATCGCAGTAAAGTCCATGTCTGTGAGCGTGACGGTGAACGGAGCATCCACTCTCTCGGGCTCCATGCACTGCTCCGTCCTCGCGGCGCTGTTCAAGTTGTTCACCCTCCAGGAATTCAGAGGTCGAATCGATTTCTGGAAACGCTGCAAAAAAACAGAAACAAACAGTCATCTAGCAGTGTCATATATTTGAACAGGTACAGCAGTGACAATCTGTTTGAGCTGTACAGTTAGTGAGACTGTGGCAGAGGTGTAACAGGACCTCACAGTGATAGAATGACATAATGGTGACACTCACGTCTTTCAGTGTTCCGGTTTCCTTGCTGATGGCCACAATGGCCCAAATGAGGATCTGTAGACAGCAGGTTGCGCCTATACACACGCCCAGCGCTTTGCCCCACCGTGGATACACATAGGCACCGTAGTGGAGTGGAGTGTTGTACATCTCAATGAAGATGTAGGTCAGGATGAACTACAGCCACAAGGAGAAAGGCACAGGGTGAGCAGAGGAACTTTTTATCCAAACAATAAGCCCACAATGGCAACAGAAGAAGAGTGAGGCCAGCAGAGAAATGTTACAGGGGGAGCTCAGATTGAATGTCAGTTTCTCCTCTTGAATTATTTACAGCTGTGGTTGTGAAGATTTCAGCTCAGCTAGATACATTTCACAGCAGTGATGGTATTTTAGTTTCTGTGGTGGAACTTTTGTATCTGTTGGTAATTGAATTCTCCCTCAGTTTATGATAAACTGTTCAACCATTTGACGCAATATTTTTAACTCACTGGGACAGCGCAGTGTTTCACCCCTCATCAAATTACCATTTGACTGCAAGTGCAACAATACATTACAATAAAAGGTGGCATCAAATGGCTGTTTCTGAATGAATCAGCCTTACTGTAAATGGTAATTCTGCTTCAGGTGACAGGAGAGGCAGAAATAATAGAGGGAGTGACGTAACATGGATTGTGCAACAATACTGTAACGCTATAATATGAGCTTTAGCTCAGCAATATTTCAGCTGGTAGTGAAGGTCATAATTTTCAATTTTGCAAAATAATATTAATATTCATTCTTAATGTTTTGCTTCTAAACTCAAAAGAACACTGAAAAGTAAAGTTCCTTATTCCCTCCCAAATGAAGAAGCTAGCCATTTCTTAGTTTCAAGTACTGATTTTTATCCAACCGGTGATTTGAAGAGGTTTTAAAAACAAACTTGCTTCGTGAATTAAAAGTTAGAATTGCAAAGAACCAAAAGGAGGTCATTAAGTAGTGATCCCTGAATTAATTTCTGCCTCCAAAACAGATTAAGCGTAAGACCGTAAGACCATTCAAAAATCCATTAAACCTGATTAATATGCTGTTCTCAATATGCAGAAAAGTGAACATTTCAGTGCATTTGGATTTTAGAAAAGATTATAGATAACACAACAAGCCAGCTGCATTTATGGAAGTTATTATTATAATAAAGAATATTCTGAAACACATCTGTCATACTAATGATGGACAACTAATGCTGATGTCTTATTGTACCTGCGTCTACTAACAACAAATATCAACATTAACGCAGATGTGTTCACTCACCAGCAGAAGAAACGGAGTGCAGAAAACCCAGCATGCTTTGAAGTAAAGCAGCACTTTGCCGCACCAGGGAGGGCAGTGGCAGATCATATCAAGAATGTCTTGACAAAACTGGTTGACTCCTAATGGAAAAGTTCATTAGGAGAGGCATATTAAGAACCTTAGAACAAGCGAGAGAACATCAACATTGAACACGTGTTCAATGAACAACAAAATGGAATGATGTAGTGTTAGAGGAGTCTGATGTGAAGGTTAGGGGTGTGGGATGGACTACCATAGAAGAAGGAGATGCCAATGCACATGAAGAGGGTGATGATGATGAGGCCGAAACTAGTGCTGAAGGAGTCAATGAGAGTGAACCAGTAAATCCCACCCTATGAAAACACAGACGGCATGGGAAAACGTGAGTCACATGATCACAGAGAACATGCATTTTGCAGCCACATTCCTCGCTCACTACAGTCCGCTAAAAACTCACATCAGTCACTAACAGGAGACCCATCAGATAGAAGCAGAAACACAGAGCGCCCAAGAACAAGGACTTGTGCAGCGTGTTCGCTCGGAGCTGCGGGAACTCATCCAGCACGGCTGTAGTAATGCCCTCCATGTTGCCAAACTGTGAAGCCGCAGAGCAGAAGGTATCAAACATGGAGGCAGACACGTGCATGTTTATTTCTGCTCATATTTTCGTGTGGTGTGCGCGGTCTTACCAGTGTATCGATACCCAGCATAAAGAGCATGAGGAAGAACATAATGGACCAGAACACCGAGCCTGGCAGCAGAGCAAGGGCCTCTGGGTAAGCAACGAAGGCCAACCCAGGACCTGAACAGAAAAAAGAATTCATCAAGTTCAAGACAGCAACATCTGGATAGTATGGAAGTTCAACATAATATACAGTATTAATTTAAAGTGGCATCAAGCAGTGTAGCTACAGATTGCAACCCTCTTGGTGATGCATTCTGCAATTAAATCGCTAGATGCCACAAAATCCTACACACTGGACCTTTAAATAATTGAGTTGTTCAAAGAAGCTAGTGACATTAAAAGTTACTATCTAACTGCTCTGTAATAGAGGTCATGTCACAATAACAAACAGAGCCTAATTTTTATTTATGTTAATATTTTAAAGAATGATACAAAAATACCACATATGCCATTAACACCATTTTCAGTCTCTACCTACCTGTATCTGCCACTTCTTGAACAGGCACTCCCTTCTTCCATGCCATGTGACCCAGGATTGAGAATATAGCAAACCCTGCGAAGAAGCTGGTGGTGCAGTTTCCTGTGGTGATAATCAAAGTGTCCCTGAAAACAAAAGAACCACAATTAAAATCTGAACCCATCATGGCTGCGACAACAATAGCGGACGATACAGAGCACAAACTCACCGGATGACGTTGTTGTCAAACTTATTGTAAGAGGCCATAGAAAGCAGCCCACCGACTCCAATACCTAAGGAGTAGAAGATCTGCGAGGCTGCGTCGTTCCACACCTGCAATGTGTCAGACAGAAATATGCGTTAATGAATGAAATGAAAGCAGTAACAAAGCATTGTGTTCACAGACTCCTCAGCCTCACCAGTCTACCACCAGAAGTACCTGTGCATTAGCTAATCGACTCCAGTCTGGTGTGAGGTAGAAAGCAATGCCCTGAAGAGAGCCCTCCAGTGTAGCACCTCTGATGATCAAAACAATGAGCACAAAGTATGGGAAGGTAGCGGTTACATAAACCACCTGAAAACACAGACAGCACAGAAAAAACGTTAGGTCAGCAGCAGAGGGTGGGATTGTGTGTATGTGTGTGTGTGTTTTGTGGGATATGACAATTACAACATTGTCTCGATTGACCTTGCCAGAGCTGCGGATGCCCTTGAGCATACACAGGAAGATGATGATCCAGGCAGCCAGGAGGCACAGGGCCAGGGGCCACCGGACAGGGCCCGGGTCGTGAAGGCCCTCACTGTGTACTACACCCAGCACACGCTCACTACAAGACACACAAAGTCAAACACAGACATGTAAAAACAGCACACCTCTTAAAACACTTACTGTCACACCTACTATGAATTAATTAACTAAATAAAAACGTGTTCAAATATTTTCTTCAGTGTTAGAAATCATTACCGTTATATATATATATATATATA